ATTGTATCCATGGTGCATACACGTCTGTGTGCCTTGAAGGTCACAGGGTTGATGTTAGACGTCTTACTCTATGAGCATCCACCCTGGGAGGTCTTGAGACAGCATTTGTCACTGAACCTGGAGCTCAACATTTCAGCTAAGACTCCCTAGGCAGCAAACCCCTAGACTGGGCCTGCCACCGCACCCCAGCACTAGATTCCTGTTGGAACCTAGAGAAGCCACTGCTTCACCTGACGTTCTGCATATTTGCTGGGATCCCAACTGAGGACCTCGCTCACCGGCTGATCCAGCTCCCACATCCTACTATCACCTTTTATTTATTTACTACTTACTCACTTATTTTTTAAATTTATTTATTTTATGTATATGAGTACACTATAGCTGTCTTCAGACACACCAGAAGAGGGTATCAGATTCCATTACAGATGGTTGTGAGCCACCATGTGGTTGCTGGGAATTGAACTCAGGACCTCTAGAAGAGCAGTCAATACTCTTAACCACTGAGCCATCTCTCCAGCCCACTTACTTATTTTAGATTGTGGTAAAATTCATATAAAAATAAAATTCACCATTTTAAAATGTACAACTAAAGGCATTTTATTATATTCACAGTATGGTGTAACAGCCATCACAATGTTCCAAGCATTTTACCATGCACAAGGAAACCCCAAACCCATAAAGACAGTTTCCAAGCTTCCTTTGTCCCCTAAAAAAAACCCACCTCCATGGATGTGCCTATTTGAGATATCACGTGTGAATGGAGCCATCGAATAAGTAGCCTTTAGTGTCTGGCTTTCTTCATCTAGCACAAATTGTCAAGATACATATGTTGGAGTACATGTCAGTATTTTGTTCCCCTTAGGGCTAAATAATGCAGTATTTCCCTCTGGTCCACAGCTTTTCACTTTCTATGGACATAATTACTAATAGTCAACTTCTGTCTAAAAATAAATGGAAAAGTCTAGAACTAAGCCATGTCTAAGTTTTAAATTGTGTATTGTCCCAGGGTGAGAATCACCCCTTTATCCAACTGATCTGCACTGTATATACTACCTGCCTGCTAGTTCTGTAGCTATGGTAGTAAGCTGTTGGTACACAGCAGAATCTTACAACATAATCTAGTGTGACTAATAGCTTTATTTTCTAACATAGGCCATTAATGTTTTACAAATCATGGAGGGACACCTTACAGTCTGGATTTCATTCCTTATCATTTTGAGGTCTAGCACACTGTCAAGCTAATACAACTGTCACCATATAATTAGGCTCACCATTTTCACCTTGCTATCATGTAACCTATCTTACTATATACTACCGTAGCTCCAATGGTTCTGTTAACAGAGAGCTGACATCTGTCCTGTACTTCTCTTGGGATACAAGCTAAAGCCCATTCTATGGTCTCTGCCTACCTTCATGCACTTTCTAAGCACTCACCCAGAGGGTGCCTCTCTGTTTCCTAACCAGCCCCGGGCCTACTTCTGCCTTTATCCTCTCCATCAGCTGTATTATCCCCACAGAGAACTCAACAGCTTACTTTCTCAGCATTAATGGCCAAATGTCACCTTCTCAGAGTCTGACCCTGCTCACTGCCATTTAAAAGGTCAGGCCCCACCTCTAATTGTACTCACCATCTTCCTAATCCTGCCCTGCATTCTTTCTAAACAGTCAACATCTAAGACAAAAAATATTGTACTGACTAGGTTTGCTGGCTTCTATCATTTCCCTTCCACTGAAAGGTAAGCATATTGTGGCCATTATAGAAACAAAACAGAGGCTTCTGAAAACACTTAAAAACAAAATTAACATGTTCCTTAGCAAGACTAAAACCCAGTAGGGAAAACATCAAACCTTGCACTAGCTCCACGTCTAGCATCTGGGAACCCCCTCCCTGTAGCTTTGTTACCTGTAACAGGATCCCTCTATCTTACATGAGCTCTGGTCCACGACTGGAGCTTTCCTTAGTGGATATCCCATGGTTCTTACATCTCCTGGCATATCCACTGAAACTTGGTTTTCACCCTCAGAGTTTCACAGCACACTCTCCAGGTCTTCCTGTGGTTTCTTAAAGTCAACTGGGTCACATGGTGCCTCGCCTCAGCAACTCTTTAAAACTGTAATATAAGACTCCATGACACCCTCAAATCTTATGTCTTTCATGCTTTCGAAACCAGTACCACATTGAAGACATTGCCACATTACATTCTGCTACAGCTTAGGATGGAGCTAGCCACACTGAAGCAGAGCTGCATCAGCCTTCCTGTGTGTGCTAAGCCTGGAGGATTGCTTCCAACAGAGAACCCTCTCTACCACATTCTTAGTCTCCTTCAAATGGATTTATATTTTCATGAGATGGAGCCTCCAATAAGCAGCCCTGCCCTCCTGGTACTTTCCAGTTGTTCCAGTGCAGCTACCAGGTTTCTCTTTAATAATACAACTCTTTCCAAATGGCCTGGGCCATTAACTATAAACCAGCCACACTGCCTGCTTTACTTAACAGCAGCATTTTCACCAACTGTCCCACCTGTTGGGGTCTCGGTCTCTCTCTCTCTCTCTCTCTCTCTCTCTCTCTCTCTCTCTCTCTCTCTCTCTCTCTCT